GGGGGGGGAGTTCAGACAACCAATCTATTAGTTATTAGCAGAATGCTTAAATATGACACCAGCAGAGTGCCAGTCTCTGTTTAGAAAACCAAACCCACTGCTATCAAGCCAGTTCCCACGTGATGCTATAGGACAGAGAGGAACTGCCTTGAAGGGTTTCTCAAACTATAGACTTTACAGAAAAAGAATACTTCACTTTCATCCTGTGGAAACGCTGGTAGGTTTGAACTGTCAACCTTTTGGCTAGCATCTGAGCACTTATCATTGTACTATTTCAATAGGCTCCTTTACCCTTAGAATAGGATGTACAAACTTAAATGGGTCTGATGATCCCCAGGATGAAGGCTAGTTTGGAGGTACTAAGTTCAGCTGGAGCCTGGGAGTCTACGTTTCTCACATACTTCCAGACCAGAGTAATGACATACTCTTGCCATACCGTTGCCCACCACCATCTCCTCAGGAGGGTCCTCTGGGGTGTTTTCTGAAACCGCAGCCTTAGGTGAGTAGGCTCCAGAAGAATGCTTCAGACGTGTAGGGTCGGCTCTCTTGAACTGCTGCATTCGCTGGACGACCAGCTCTGCTGTCCGCAGCTTGGAGGGACTGGGTATCATAGAAGCAGCAGGTGGGACATCGTTGCTAGAAGGACCTTCTAAGCGGGAAGAAAACATTTACTCATATCTGTTCTAGCTGGAGAAACAAGACTGTTCTCCCAGGTACTTCTTTGAATCCAGGTTAGACTCTGGATTCAGAGAAGGGCTTCACCAACTAGTGCAGGAAGGATTGTCAATTGATGGGTTGCTGGCATGCCATGCTGTTGTAGTACAATAGTCCTTGGCTTCAAACTGGTTTGAACCAGTTCAGTTGTACTGATGAAGCAAAACTGGAACAGACTTGAGTTTTAAAAATTTGGGGAAGTGGAGTAACTGGAATGGGAAAGATTAAAAGGCAAAGGATAGAAGACTGGGAAGAGATGTAGTGAGGCCTATCAGGAGCCTGATGTGGGAAGCTGGATCACTGCCAGGTCTGTTGAGAATGACACACATTCAAAGTAGCACACTTGGCTGTGGGGCACTGCTGGTTCTGACTCTGCATGTCAAGAAAGTTGGCTGCTCTGCAAAGTGCACACTTCCCTTGTTTTTTAGAGCACATTTCTGACCTGCAACCTTTTCCAATAGGGTTAGTTAGTGTTCTAGTCCACCCATATTTCTTTTTACCCTTCATTTAGGCCATCATTTAATCCTGTTGACTTTATCATCTTGAAAATATATTTTAAAACTAACAACCTCCACTCACATTTTAAGAATTTAGGTCCATTCATCACTTCATCAGTCATGAATGAACTGAGAAATACCAGTATGAGGCCCTGACATAGCTATAATACCAACATTGTGACAAGAGGGGAGGATGAAGAGTGACTGCTAATGTTTACAGAGCTTCTTTTGAGGTTGAAAAAGTTTTTATTAGTGGTAATAATTGTATACAGCCATGTGAATATACTAGAAACCACTGAACTTAAAATAGTTCATTTTATGGGATATGAGTTACATCTCAATGGCTCTACTATTAAAGATATATTAATGACCAATATTATCTCTTTCTAGATCAGGTGTTATCCTGTAACTTAGGTCCACTGATGACGTTCCCTGAAGCCTCCTATTTTGCAGGTATGAATGTGGATGCAGTTTTCTGAAGAACAGTACAACTTTCTTCACAGTCTCAAAGGAGAATGAAGAAGTTTTGTCTCAGCAACATCATGGCAGCCTCACCCCACCCACATCTTTGGGCAGTCTTTACCCAATCTATTGCTGATGTACTACCATCCACCACCACCCCACTGCCTCTGAGCTGATCCTAACTTGTCTCAGGCCTACAGGACAGAGTTGAACTGCTCCTCTGAGGGTTCCCAAGACTGATGAGTCTTTACAGAGCAGCCCTTTCATTTTTCTCCCACAGGATAGCTGGTGGATTCAAACCACTACCTGCATGAAGAAGGTATCCTAGGCATATAGCTCAGCACATTAAGGGTGCTTAATCAAGCAAATTAAGACAAGAAAACAAAACTTCTTCAGAGTATAAGGGAAAAAACCCTAAAAATCTTTCTGTTACATAAACACACCTATCTTCCTTGCCTTGCCTCCTCAAGAGACTAAACCAAACTAGCTGGCCTGTTCCAACCCAAGCACTTCTGAATAAACTCCAGAAAATCATATCTAACAGAAACATCAAATATTTCTGAAAGAGTACAGGGCTCCAAATCATAGTTGTTTGAAAAATTCACATAGTGCTTGTATTATTTATGACTACTGCTTAAAGCAAGAGTTGGCAAACTATGGCCCTCAGACTGCCAGTTTTGGTAAATAAAGTTTTGCTCAGGCACGGCCAGGTTCATTTGTTCACATGCTATATTGATGACAGATTTTGCATCATGGCACAGAGGTGAAAGACAAACAGACATGGAATGATTCCCAGTATCAAATATGTTTACTACCTGGCTGTTTTCAGAAAGCTGACTCCTGGTTTAAGGCAATACAAACCCCCTCTAGATTTCTGTGGGAGGTTATGGCAGGGGCTCACTTGTGTACATTACCTGTCTGGGTGTTCTGCACATCGTTGTTGCAAATGGCAGGCTGATTTGAAGTAGGGCTAGTCAGAGGACCCGCCCTGTTAACAGTGAAAGCAGCTGATTTCCAATCATGTAATTTGGTGGTCTGCTGATTTTTAGCCCTTGAGGTCTGGCTGCCTGGCCTCAGTTTCCTCTCCACTGGGCCTGGAAGGGTTTTGCCCTTAGCAGTAGTCTGTTTGGGCTTTTTTAATGTACTTCTTTTCTGAGTGCTGTCAGAGGTTTTTAGCTTCTTCCTTTTCCCCAACAGTTCCTGGGCTCCATTCTTTTTCACCCTTTGGAAAAAGCTGGCACAGAGTTCTTTGAAATCATCATCAGATTCTTCCATTATCCTACTCAATTCAAGGTGTTCAGGCTGCTTTGCAGAGGTGAGGATTGCCTGTGTGCTGGTGCAGAGACAAGGAGGTGGCCTAGCCTTCCCTCAGCCACCTTTCTCCTCACTGAGCTGCTAGGAGAACTTCCACAGTGGAGTCCCAAGTCTCCTTTGCACCTCCGTAATGACTTAAAATGTCTTTCATCAAACAAGGCCTATGATTAAACATTTTATGCATCCCTCTGTGCAGGTTCACATTTGAGAGCGTGGGCTGTGGTCCAACAAAAGCGTCTGATACATAATCTATATGAACTTGGTGTTCAGCTGACCCTTCATGCTCACCATGGTGGCACTGAGGTTTTGGTCTGTTTAATTTTGCATCTGTGGAAAAATCAAAGCATCTTAATGTAATGCACAGATGCGTTCCCTTTATGCCACTTCTTTCAGAAAAGTACAAGGCTACAGGAGACATGGGAAGTTTACACAGTAATAACACCGTCAATTGCTCAAGTATTGGTCAACTGACACCAACAGCCTCCCATCACACATGGGGGAGAGAGATCTAGAAACCTGCTCAAATATATTTATTCTTTCACAGGCAGAATACATACATTTTGGAAGAACATAATTTTGAATGACATTTGGCAAGTAAGTCTCATGAAGGGAGTCATGATAGAAACAAGCTGATCCCTAAATCTACCACTATTCAGTCAGTTCTGACTCATCAGCTGCCCTGGAAGACAGAGCAGAGCCACCCTAGAGGAGTTTCCAAGATGTGAGTCTTTATGGAAGCACACCACCAACTTTCTCCTATACGGCAGCTGATGGATTTGACCAGCTGAGTTAGCAGTTGAGCACTTTAAGCACTGCACCACTAGAGCTCTTATGCTATTAATGGACAACATTTATTGGATGGTTCCTGCTTGCCAGAAACCCTCCCAATTATTCCACAAGTCTTTAACTTATTTAGTTCTTACAAGGGAGCTCTGGTGGCATAATAGTAAGAGACTTGGTTGCTAATCAAAGGTTGTCAGTTCTAACCTACGGAGCAGCTCTGTGGGTAAAAAGACCTATTTCTCTGTTCTGGCAAAGATGGCAGTCTATGACAGCACCTGGGCTGTTCTACTCCGTCCCACTGACTAGGAGTCAAACTGATAAAATAGCACATAGCAACTGCCCTCACAACAGTCCCAGAGGGCAGACTCTACTCTTTTCTCTCTCTTAAAGCAAACAGACAGAATGAAAAATCGGCTCAATATCACTAGGCTACCTAAGTGCTTGCACTGGGGTCAAGCCTGTTCAGATGTTTCTCCTATAGCTTTTTATCCATTTACCAATTATCTGTCCCTCTTAAAAGGAACTCTGGTGGCACAGTGGATAAAGTATTCAGTGGCTAACCAAAAGACTGGTAGTTTGAATCCACCAGCTGCTTTGTGGGAGAGATGTGAGAGTCTGTTTCCACAGACTGACAGCCCTAGAGACCCTTCTGACAGTTTCACTCTGTCCTATGTCTCTAGTGTCACTACGATTCGGAATCAAATCAACACGGTGAATTTTATGTTTGCTTTTTTGGTGTTTGTGGGGGATTTTTTAGTCCCTCTTAGGTGAAAACATCACAAGGACATGCCCATCTGCTTTATTACTTTGTGTTCTCTTTGGTCTGGTTGACAATGCCTTCTCTTACTGTAGAGTTGGGAGTAAAAAGATAAAATGGTGGGAGAAACGGAGCAGTAGAACTCAGCTCATAGGAGGCAACACAGACAGAATCTTCTGCAAAGGGCAGGGAGTAACATCCAAACCCACAGCAAACAAGTGGATTCAGACTCAAAGTGACCACGAGGCAGAGATCTAGCTCACTGGGGGTGTTCAAGGTTACAAATCTTTATAGGACCAGCCTGTCTCAAATTTCTCCCACAGGGCAGCTAATGGATTTGAACCGCTGAGCTTTTGTTCCACAGCCCCTAGGTTTTACCCACAGTGCCACCAGGGCATCTACCACCTCCTCCACAACTGCCTCTCTCCTCATTCCTGTTATGAGGTGCCAGAGTTAGCTCCAACTCAGTAATGTATGTACAACAGAAAGAAACCCTACAGGCCCTGCACCATTCTCTGCCTCTGCTGCCCTTATGGCCGCTGCTACATCCCGGTAATTAGCCTTACAACTATCCGTTTGGGCTTCCTTGGCCGTGACCTTTACGGTAAGATTCCATGGGTGGCAAAAAATGTTGGGGGCTCTGCCTACCAGACGAAAGGGTGGTAGTTCAAATCCACTCAGGTAGACTTTGCAAGCTAAGCCATCGGCTTCTGAAAGTTCAAAGCCGTGGAAACCTGCTGGAGTAGCTCCTCAATGTGTCAGTAGTGACAAGAATTACTAGGGATGCAGCTAGCCGGGCCTTTCTTGCGCGGAAGGCCTGGGCGGAACAATAATCACTTATAGGAGTAAGGCTCGGCTGCCCAGACCATGTCATACGCATTTCATCAACGTCTCCTGAGTGCGGGGAGGCGTCCTGAGACTGCACCCTTCGGGAGGGCGGGGGACTCGGATCTGAACCTCGACGGCCCCGGCGGTAACGCATACGAGCAGTAGGACCCTCCCCCGTCCCCTAATGTGGCCTTATACGCGTGGCACTAGGGACCACACTGGGCCAGGGCAGCCGCGCGCTCTGGCGGCTGTAGACGTTCCGATCCCAGTGAAAACTCGGGGAGTCAACTGACCCTCGGGCAGCGACCACCGGGGCATCCAGATCCACTCCTCGCTTCCTTCAGGCGACCCTCTCCACCTGGGGCGCGACGGGCCCTCTGACACCAAGGAGCCAGCGAGGTAAGGTGGACGACAAAGGTCCGCAGTGACAGCACCTCCACCTCCCAGCTCAGATTCTCGGCCCCACAGCGCGGCTCCTCCTACCTCCTGCGCCGCCGCGGAACCGTCTCAACGGAGAAGAACAACGCGCTTGCGCCGCCGCGCTTCCCGTCGTTCTCTGCGGCCGCGGGCGCGCCTTCGAGAGCATTTCCTGTCTGCGCAGTGAAGACCGGAAGTGCTCTCCAGGTTGGCTGTATGTTGTTTCTCTGGCGCTGGGCACTCCCGCAGTAAAGTCTGTTAAACGAGAAGTGTTGGGTTGGATCTTGTAGGTGAGACCGATCCATAAAGACATCAGAACAGAACACCACGGAATCCTAACTCACTGTTGCCGCCACTGTGTGAATTCTCCGCATTGAGGTTCTTCCTCTTTTTTTGTTGACCTCCTTAGGGGAAGGAGTGACTAAAGAATAAGTGAAAGTTCTTGTTTCTGATTTACCACATGATCCCGAATTGAATTATTAAAGCAAAATAGCTTTAAAAGATTTACCTTGGGAGAGGGGCTGCGCGCCAGGCACACACGGGTAGGAGCAAGCTCAGCTTTTTTCGGCGCCTCTGCGGGCAGCCGTATAGCCTGGGGCCTGGGGCGCGGGGCTCGGGGCCAGGACACTGAGCAGGGCGTCCAGCATCTCCTTGCACATGGCCAAACACCATGGAACCAACCTGCGGGGAGAGGCACCCCCTGTTGCAGTGGACCGTGGAGGCAGAACCCACCTCTAGCTGACCCTCCGGCGGGCTTCCAGAGGCTGCAAATCGCACGGGAGGAGATTGTCTATCCTTTTCCCGTGGAGCAGCTGGTGGATTTGACCTACCTGCCTTAAGTTCTTTACCAGAGGCCACCTAAGTTTCCCTGCCTCCTGATTCAACCACTCACCTTTGAAAGGTCCACCTTTAATGGTGAGGGCTACCTTCCTCCCCTCAGTTCATGTAGCCAAACCCCGTGCTCGAGATCCCTGAACTGGAAAAATGAAATGGTGACAACCGGCACCCCTGAGTCCTCAGATGCCACCCGAAGAGCCAGGTTTGAGGCCAGAATTAGAGATCTCTGGACAAAGGGACTTCTAGTAATTCGCAGGTTGCGTAACTGCCTTGGATAGGAGCTTGTCAGTAGAAATCTAGCAAGACCGACTGAAAAGGACCCCTCTTTGGGAGTGATTTTTTTACTGTGGTGGTGGTTACCTAGATAAGTCCGTTACTGTAGCTCATTGAATTGCATAAATCGATACTGGAATTGTACTAAAAACCCCTCTCAAATTCATTGCTTTGTATCAGGACTAACTCTGCTCTGACCCGCTGGAGGGTTTTTCCGACACTTTTCTCCCATGGAGCAGCTAGTGGATTCCAACTCCCTATGGACTATGCCCTCTATTGGAATCGTACAAGGAGTACTAAAAAAGAAGAAAAATAGAAGTTGTATTCTCTACAAAGAAAAAAAAAAAAAGATTCACCCTGATAGGAAAGAAGTGATGGATGGATGGAATTATTTCGTTCATTGAGAAACACAAAGTAAACCCCCTGGCATTGAGTCCATTCTGGTTCAAGGTGACCCGCCTTTTGGGTTCCAAGGGCCCATCTTTCTCCTGTAGAGTGGCTAGTAGGTTCAAACTACCAGCCTTTTGGTTCCTCCTGAAAAGCACAGTCATTTTTCTTTTTTTCACAGTTCCAAGGTAAGAAGACTTTTGGAGCTGCTTACACTTTTTGTTTTGTAGGAGTCCAGCTTAGTTACATTGATGATGTTCTCAGAGTTGTGCAACCATTCCCACCCACCTTCTCTGGGTTGTTCATCCTTAAATAACGTAAACTCGCTGCCCCACAAGGTTCCTGTTTAAGTAAGCTTTGGAGTTGTTTGTTTTGTTCCTATATAGATCTTAAAAGTTCACAATGCTCTAGACAGCCTTTACTAGTTAAGCTTGGTTTTGGGAAGACTATATATATATATGTGTGTGTGTGTGTGTGTGTGTGTGTGTATATATATATATAGTATATATGTGTTCCAGTCACCCATTATTATCAATGCATCTTGATTGCACGTTCGATCAATCTCCGATTGTAAAAGTTGGTAAAAATCTTCTATCTCCTCTTCCTTGGCTCTGGTTGTTGGTGCATATATTTGAATGATAGTGGTATTCACTGGACTTCCTTGTATGCGTATAGATATTATCCTGTCACTGACAATATTGTACTTCAAGATGGATCTAGCAATGACTTTTTTAACTATGAAAGCCACTCCATCTCGCAAGCAACTCGACGGCACATAACAACAACAACATATATGTGTGTATATATATGTATATACATGTTTTATTTTTTTAATTTAACAGGTAAGGTTTGTGTGCTGTTCCAGAAAGTATAGGTTCCATAAAGAAATTGGCATTCTTTTGTGAATTTATTGCCCACTTGGTGCCATGACAAAGGAGGCTATTATTCATGGGACCAATCAGCCATACATTCATATCATCATACTTCTCCTGATTCTCCACCTTCTTCTCTTGCTCCAGGCAAATATGGGCTGGTCGCTGAGCCTTGGATGACCTGCTTAAGCTTTTAGTACACGAAGAACTATACCATGAACTCAGACATAGAACAGAAGTACTCAACACATTCTTAAACCATTTAACCCCAGTTAAATGAAGCCCCTAATATTTTAAGAAATACTTTTATTATCATATTTTCTTAAAATAGTAATTATTTAGTTCTTTGTACCTAAAGCATGTAAATAAATATTTTGGTAAGAAAGGTCACAAGTCAGTATGATACATGTCAATTTTAGGAGTCTAGGTGAAAAGATACCTGAGAGGGTGAGCGAGAATCCTCTGGTGGCCTAGTGCGTCATAAATCAGTACAATACATGTCAATTTTGGGAAACTGTATGTGGATCCAAAGATAACTGGTGGTTCCTGTGATACTAAACACTGTGACACTGATGTGTTAAATCTGATAATGGTTACCCATGGTGAACAGTGTTTGGTGGTGCTCCCTGATTAAAACAAGCTTGGAAGCAGGAGTGGCATCCACTTCCGAAATAGCTTGCCTCTGGAAACTTTATGAACTTGGAGAAACAATGGAAGCTATACAAGTGTTCAGATCTTTCATTCGTAGGGTCGCTATGAGTTGTCTACAACTCCATGGCACTTAACAACAACAACAACAATGTGTAGATCACAACAAACTGTGACTAACTCTGAGAAGAATGGGAATCCCAGAATACTTGATCATACTTAGGTGAAACCTAACCTTCTACCAGGAGGCAGTTGTCAGAACAGAGCAAGGAAACACTGCATGGTTCAAAATTGGGAAGGGTGTATGCAAGAGGGTGTCCCTTATCTCCATACCTTTTCAATCTATATGCAGAACAGATTATCCAGGGGGCTGGGCTCTATGAGGAAGAATGTGGCGTCAGGATTGGAGGAAGACTCCTCAGCAATCTGCATCACACTGATGACAAAACCCTGCTTGCTGGAACTGAGGAGTACCTGAAGTGCTTACTTAAGAAGGCCAAGTACTGCAGCCTTCAATATAGATTGAAGCTTAACATCAAAAAAACAAAGATTCTCACTACTGAGCTGACTGGCAGCATCGTGATAGATGGTGAAGAGATTGAGATTGTTAACAACTTCAGTTTGCTTGGCTCCACAATCAACACTCTTGGTACCAGCAGCCAAGAAATGAAAAGATAAATTGCACTGGGGAAAGTCTACTGTCAGAGACCTCTCCAAAGTACTGAAGAGCAATGATGTCAGTCTGGAGGCTAAGGTGCACCTGATATAGGCCATGGTCTTTGCAGTTACTTGCTATGCATCAGAAAGCTGGACAATGACTAGGGACATGAGAAGGAGAATTGATGCCTTTGAGCTATGGTGCTGGAGAATAGTATTGAATATACCATGGACTGCTAGGAGAACAAACAGGTACATCCTAGAGAGGATGAGACCTGGCTGCTTCTTGGAGGCAAAGATTCTGAAGCTTCGTCTGACATACTTTGGACATGTTGCAAGGAGGAACCAGTCCTTGGAGAGGAATGTCATGCTTGCGAGGATGGAGGGACAGTGCAGGAGAGGAAGACACTTGATGAGATAAATTTATTCAGTGACTGGGGTATTGGAAGTAGGTCTGATAGAGACAATAAGCTTGGCACAAGATAGAGCGAGGTTTAGGGCTGTTGTATAAAGTGTCACTATGAGTCGCAGGCAACTCGATGACACATAACAACAACATGTGAAAAGATGCCTGAGAGGGTGAGTGAGACTCTTCTGGTGACCTAATGGGAAGGAGTTTCACCAGTAAGTCTAAGCTAAGGAGTTAGCCAAGAAATTTGGAAGGCAAATACCTACCTATACAATTGATTGAAAGAAATTCATATTTGTTCCCATTCCCAAAAAAAGATGATTCAACAGAATGTGAAAATTATGTGACAATTTCACCGATACCATATGAAGCAAAATCTTACTGGAGATTATTAAAAAAACAGCTAGAACAATAAATTGACAGAGAAGAAGTGCCAGATATTCAAGCTGGATTTAGAAGAGGCCATGGCACCCCACATATCATTGCTGATGTCAGATGGATCTTGACTGAAAGGATGTATGTTTGTGTTTTATTGACTATGCAAAGACATTTGACTGTGGATCATAACAAATTATAGCTAACATTGAGATGAATGGAAATCCCAGAACACTTAATTGTGCTTGTGTAAAAGCTATATCTAGACCGAGAAGCTGTTTCTGAACAGAACAAAGGAGAACTGTATGGTTTAACATCAAGAAAAGTGTGCATCAGGACTGTATCCTTTCTCCATACCTATTCAATCTGTATGCTGTGTAAATCATTCAAGAAGCTGAATTTACTGCACTGCAATCCCAGATGTGCACAGTTAAGAAAAAGAAGAAGAAGAAGCTGAATTTATGAAGAAGAATGTGGCATCAGGGTTGGATGAAGACTCATCAACAATTTGTATTATGCAGATGACATAACCTTGTTTGTTGAACCTGAGGAGGATTTGAAATGCTTGCTATAGACATTAAAGAGTACAGCATCCAATATGGATTACATCTTAATATCAATAAAACCAAAATCCTCCCCACAGGGCCAATAGGGAACATTAGGATACATAGATAAAAGATTGAAAGTGTCAATGAGTTCTCTTCCTTGGATCCACATCAACAGTCAAGAAAGAAAAAAAAAACACTCTTGTTGCTTTGCGAAATCGGTTGTCAAGGCCGTCTCCAAAGTGCTAAGGAACAATGATGTCAGTTTAAAGACCAAGTGAACCTGATTCAAGCATGGTCTTTTTCAATTACTTTCTATGCATCTTCAAGTTGGACAATGAATAAGAACTACTGAAAAATAATTGATACCTTTGAGTTGTGGTTTTGTAGGCGAGTACTGAATATCCTATGGACTGCTAAAGGAACAAATATAACTTGGAGAAAGTGAAGCCAGGGCAAAGATGATGAAACTTGATCTCATATACTTTGGGGATGTTGTTGGGAAGGGCCAGTCCTTAGGGAAAAGTATCATGTTTAGAAAGGAGGAGTGTCAGGAAAAACCTCATCAGGGTGGATTGACTTAGTGACTGTAGCAATGGGGCCGTGTATGTCAGGAATGGTGAAGATAGGGCAATATTCAGATATGTTGTCATGAGGTCAATGTGAGTTGTAGCCAATTTGATGGTACCTAACAACAACATATATTTCCAAGCATAATGCCCTCCAGAGACTGCCTTCTGGATAACATACTCCAAGTACACAAGATGGAGTCTCACCATCCTAACTTCTAAGGAGTATCCTGATCACAGCTCTTCAAGGTGGATTTGTTTGTTCTTTAGCACTCAGTGGTATATTCAATAATTTTAGCTAACACCACAATCTATAGACATCAATTCTTGGGTCTTTTCTATTCATCGTTTCAGCTTTCACATGCAGATAAGGCGACTGAAAACACTATTACTTAAGCCAGGCACACCTTAGTCTTTAGTTTTCCTCATTTTGGTACTTCCCTTGATTTCTTAGTTGTGGATCCAAGTAAAATTAAGTCCTTAACAGTTTCAGTGTATTCTTTGTTTATCATTTTGGTGTTTTTTTGCCCCAGTTGTGAGGATTTTTGTTTTCTTTCTGTTCATATGTAATTCATATTGAAAACTGTTGCTGTCTGATCTTCATCAATGACTATTTCAAATAATCTTTGCCTTCAGCAAGTAAGGTTGTCCCTTCTACACATTGCAGGCTGTTAATAGTCTTCTAATCCTAAAGTCATGTTCTTAATACAATCTTGTTTCTGAGGTTATTTGTTCCACATACAAATCTAATAGGCCTGCTGAAAGACTGTAATCCTGACATACATTTTTCCTGATTTTAAATCCTTCTGGTCAATTGACAGCTGCATGAACCAAAGTGCTATGAAATTCCTTTTTTTCAAAATGTTAGCCACAATTTATAATAATCCACACAATGAGATACCTTTACATTGAAGGATCCGTGAAGGGTTTAGTGACAATAAGAGGTCTACTGGACTAGGACATGTTCCAGGAACACCTGAGACCCTTGAAAACGAGGGACCTTCAGGGGGTTGAAAACAACCTCAATCCAGTTCTAAGTGCTATTCTTTGTCAGCAATATTCTGAGTCTCTCACCACTAAAGGGATAAGTGCACCAGAGGAGTTCTTGCTAACAGAATCTCCTGGAATGGAGGGTTACAACCTCAGCACTTCCCTTGGAGTCAGATTTACATACCCATTTGCCTTCTTGAGATAAAATAAAGAGAAAGAACACAGAGCCTTGATTGATCAG